GTTGTCTATGAAAATCCAATGAAGATCTGAAAGTTTCATTGAATTCCATCAAACGGTTCCTGAGAAACTACAGCTAACACCATATGATGCTAATATCTCACATCTTCTGGTTGCTTTTAGATTCCTCTCTAGTTTATTAATTCCCTATCGTTGAACCCAATCAGCAATCACACTCCCAGCAGTTTGTCACAATCTCCTGTTATTGGTCTCGCCTCGAAGTTTTCTAGCTGTCCGGCATGGTTCACTGTTGTCTCGTTTAGTTTTCTTTAAAGTTTTATTCTTTTAAGTCAGGGGTGGGCAATCTTAGTCCTCAACCAGCAGGTTTTAGTTGTTTAGCTGCTCTAACACATCTAATTCCTGGATGAATAACCTGCTCAGCAGCTCATCAGGTTCTGTAACAGCCTGTTAATCACCAGCAGATTCAAACCAGGTGTAATTAAGCAGAGAAACAACTAAAACCTGCTGGACAGTGGCCCTCAAGGATTGCCCACCCCTGACTTCAGTTCAACTAAATTATTCTCATGACACAAGGATGGTTGGGTGGGCTGCTTCCCTGACTGCAGTAAAACCTTTTAGTCTTAGAGATCTGTTTCTCCAATTGTTCATTTTGAAATACGATCGGTACTTTGACTTTTTGCTTTAGTCCTCATTGACTGCACTAGCGGCTGAAAACAGTCGGGTCAGAAAAGGCCAGACTCTTGTGTCACAGGAAAAATGAGTATTCATGGCCCCACCCACCTTGGCCTGGGACCGCCTACAATATGAGAGCAGTGTGTTTCGGCTAGTAGAAGCTAACCATTAGCAACTCCACAACATGGTGGAACACGTTCAGGTGTGTGTTGTCAGTGGAGATTAACACCAATGTTGCAATTTTCACCCAAGAAAGACGAGCGATCGAAGGCAGCAAAAGAGTTGCATTGCTGTTAGCCAATCGGAGGATGGACGTTTGCTAATCATGAATATTAATGACTTCTACTCTGAAACAGGTACGCCAGAGCTTTTTTTCACATCAAATTTCTCACAAGGTATTTTTTAAACGAATGACCACCGCAAATTTATTGAAAAAAAAAAAAAGAAACAAGGAAATGATACCTTTAAAAAAGGTTTAACAAGCTTTTTAAAAGATAAAAACTGTTGTTTATCTCAGAGGAGTCTTCCAGTAAACTGAGAAACAAGCAGCAAGGCTACCTTAAGTTGAGCGTTGCTAGCAAAACAAGAAGAATATTGTTCTAAACAAGTGGGTGTCACAGCGTGAGCAGCCCGATTGTGGAGCTCAAACACGGAATTTCAGAAGCAGTCAAGGTTTCCTCGGGTCAAACTTCCACTTTGGCCTTGTTTTAATGAGAAACAGTCCTCCGGGGGTTATTTCTGTCTTCCATCTTTGGTATTTTCTGCTCTAGCCTCAGGCTTCCAGGGAAGACGGAGACAAGACGAGAGACTTAAACCCGCTGATTGAGCAGACCTGTTGCAGTGATTTGTTATCTCAGCTCTGTAAAGAACAGAAACATTATCTTCCTTTAGACAAAAAAACCAGAAGAACTTTTCTGCTTCCCGTATTTCATTCAGAGGTTTAAACGAATGACTCTATAGTGGAACATATGTCAGGTATTAGTTGTGGAGATGACCAAACTCGAAACGTCATGCAATTGTTTTTAGATCATTTTGTAATCCCACAGAAATACTTTTAACACCTTACGAAAGACACTGCTGTAGTCTTAAGGTCTGAACCAACGGGCTTGGGCTCCACACCTGTAACCTCAGGTACGGCGTAGCAATTACCTCCACAGTTACCTTTGTTCAGAGGCTGCGTTTCTTCAGCTTTAGCTGGGATTTTCCTCCAGTCGGAGTAACGCCGTCACATTAGCGTGTCTGCTCTAACATCTGGTTTCCCAGCGCCCTCGGATGCCTCCTCTCAGCCAGCCGAGGTTGTTGACACACATTCTGAGGTTTTTGAGGGATTCGGAGATGCTCCATGTTAGGAGAGGACCCAGATAATTATTTGCATCTGAAATCAGCTTTAAAAAATGATGATGCTGATTTTCCCCAAACATACAACGTGCACCGAGGTCGATTCAGTCACTTCATCAGAAGCTGTGGAAGTTCATAGTTTATGTGTCTTCTGATTTCTAAAGACCTGACGTGGTTTAAAAGGGTGTTGGATTGGTGGGTTAAACTGTTCCCGAGCACAGCCACTGCTGCAGCTCACCGCTCCGCCCCCCATGGGGACGGGTCATGCCGTCTACGTGAGAGGATGACTAATGGGGCTTTGTTTTAGATGAACAAGTTAGATTCTGAAATAAAGTTTTGACTAGGATAAACTTCTATTTCAGATATTAAATGTTGTTGTTGCTATTATAGTTGGATTTGTTATGTGCTGAAATCACAAAGTTCAACAACTAGTTAATATTCATTTGTAGATATTTGAACTTAAATTATTGCAAGATTACTACAATCATAGTTGAGTTAGTGAAGTTTCCATTTGGATATTTAAAATGAAGCTCGGTTAAAACCATTACACTTATTAAACCATCTTTATGGATGAACAATAATTTAATCATGTGTGTGTACTTCCTGTTAGGAGGAACTGTTACGGGGGTGCATTTACTGTCTGCTGAAGAGACTAAATCTCACCAATTTGAATGTAAGCTGGGTGCGGCTCAAAATCCCTCTGAGGACCATGAACCGGCACCAGGGACGGACTTTGGATATGCCTGATTTACGGTAAGGAAGGTTTAAAATGATCTTCATTATTTATAATATAAAAATTAAGTTCATTGTCAATAGGAGTAATAATACAATATTGAGGCGATAATAATGGAATGTAATTGTGTAGCTTTTTATTCAAACGTCGTATATTTAAGCATTTATTCTGTTATTTTTCGGACACAGTCTAAAACATTCTTTATGCTGACCTGACAGGTAAAGGGTTACGTTAAACCCACCATATTGACATGTATGTGTTTGAGGAACCTTCATGGGCTCTGATTTACCTCTCAGACCCCCACTGAAGGTGATCTCCGCTTCCAGAATCGTTGTGGGGGCAGATGCATGAGAAGCTGCATGCAGAGTGGCTGTGACTGCTGCCTCTGCTCAGATGAGTCAACATGTCTTTGTTACAAACAGACCCGTCTTTTCTTCCAGCTCAGAGGAGGAAGGTTTACCTACAGTTTGTATTTTATAACCCCATTCGTCTGCAGTGGCTGATGGATGGTGTGGCCCTTCCTCCTCACTGGAAACAGCTGATTTATGTCCGGTTCTGGACACTTGTGCTTTGTGGCTGGAATTCTGAGAATGTCAAAAGCCCCTCCTCTGCCTGTCCCGTGAGCATGCAAACAAATGGAGCAGGCGCCTGGTTGGGCAGATGAAGGCCCACCGACGCTCCCACAGCAGGGCAGGGGGGGCAGAATGTAGGGAATGTCAGAGGCAAAAAGAGAAATATGTTCTGTCATCCTTTCTGGCCATCTGCAGCTCTTTCTGGTGCGTGTGAGGGGTATGAATGTTCAGTAATGTTTGAGCTGTGTGTTAGCTCACGGACTTCACAGATTTTATGGGAACACTCGGCAGATCTTCACTGGAGTCAACCCAATTCCCAATGCCTCCCGGAGCTGATCAACCTCAAGAAACAACCTAAAAGATCTCTGATTCAGTCTGTTAAACAGAAGCTGAGCTACAAACTCTAAGTGGCTGAGAGCTATTAAGACACGTGCCCGAGTGAGACTTAGCACAGGTTAGTTTTTAAGATTTGACCAAAAAGACCATCAGTCAATCCTTCAAAACTTGGGCGTGAGAGTTGGCTGGTGATGAGCGTTCCTTCGCCGTGTTGTGGTCAAGTCACCATCACACCATTTCAAGTCACAAATTTCTCCAAGTCGATTCTGAGTCAAGTCACTCAGAAATGTAAGTGAACTTGCCACTGATGGAATTAGCATGTAGCCCGTGCTAATAATAGCTTGTTATGCTAGGTCAGATTAATGTAAGGGTACAGGAGACACATGATTGATAGTTTTTATTATATTATCACATACAACTGTATTTGCTTGATGATAGCAAGGGGACATTAAGTTGTCCCAGTCTTGTCTTCTATTGTCCTACTGCATGAGCTGCTTTGTCCTGGCTTTGAGGAAATATCTGTAAAATTTAGCTGCACATCGACAAATTTTGCAACACGTTTGCAGTGGTCTCTAGTAGAAAGGAATGTCTTGAATGAAAGCTCTTGTGCTCCTGTTTCAGGAAGTGGAAGCAGCAGACGGCAGGTTCTGGAGTCTTATTTCCTGATATTCAGACATCTCGTCTCTGATTGGCTAACAGAAACACAACTCTACCACTGACTGTGTGTTCTGCAACGTTGATGTCTTATCTCCATAACACAAGCCTGGAGGAGTTCTGCTGTGTGGTGGAGTTGCTAATGCTAACAGTTAGCTTCTTCTATTCATTTCAAGTTAAACTTAAGTTTATTTATATAGCGCTAAATCACGACAAGAGTCGCCTCAAGGCACTTCACATAATAAACATTCCAATTCTAGCTGAGACGTTCTCTGCTGTTTCCTGGGCGATAAACCGACAACATCCTTCCCCGTTGTGAGTCGAGATGGGCGAGTCCATGAACGTTTTCTAATCCTAGAGTTTCACCGTCTATAATCTATCAGCGGCTAATGCAGGAGATAGGTGTAGGAGACTATTTTCACGTTTAGTCTGCAGGGCAAACTCGTATCGCAAAAATAACAAGTAAAAACCGTTAGTTTCTCAGTGAACTTGGCCTTTAAACGTGACTTGGGTCCGAGTCCAGAATAGTACTCTCGGTGGATTTTTGTTACTAGAAAACTTAAAAACACCTCCTAATCCTGACTTATGTCCATAGAAAATGCAAAAAAATGAAAGAAATTTTGTTTTTTTTTATAGCTTCGAACAAAACATTTATGCATGGTGTTCTGCTGTTGCCCAATGAATCATGTGTCAGGCCCACTCTGAAAGTCAAAAAATGCAACGTCGTGAAGGCTGGAGTCTGTGAAGTTGTTTATTCAGTGGAGGTCAACACAAGAGCACCAATCTATCATGTAGCTAATTAAAAATGAAAGGCACGATGGCTGTGATTGATCTGTAACACTAAAGCTCATGCATCCTGAACATGCTGCAGGCATGACAAACCAAAAGAAGACTCCACAGAAGCTAGAACAGTTAGAAGTTTTAAGAATAAAAACATAAGCAGCCTTGTCTGTATCAGCTGATATTCATCTCAATGATATATCCAGACACCATTTTGATTACTTGTGAGTCTCTCCCCCCTCCTGGCTATTATTGTACTGATTCCCTCTCTGGTCCGGGAGGCCTCGGCGCAGCTTAAGGCCTGCTCTTCGCTGCGGTTTTGTCCATTATGTTGAGCACATCATCCAGGATGGATGGGCCAAGATCCAGCTCCAGGGAGAGGAATGACCCCGTGATGTGGGCGAGGGAATCCTGAGATGCACTCTTTTCCTTGGAAAACTCAAACTCAAAGTCACTCATGCGTCCCTCTTCCACCCCGCTGTCCCTGTCCACCCAGTCTTTATTGCACTTGGAGAGCTCTGTTTTGAAGCTCGGGGACATGTCATCGTTGAAGCATCCGTAACCGTTGTGGGTGCCGCCTCCGTTGAAACTCCGGCTGCCGTTACTGCGCTCACTCTGGAAGTCCCCTTTACCGGTGAAGCTGTCGTAGCTGTCGCTGCTCGTGTTGCTGTTCACGCTTCCGTTGGCCTTACAGAAGCTGCTGGTGTGGCCGTTGATGAAATATGACGAAGGCTGATCGAATCTTCTTTCACTCTGGTTTAACTTGTTGGCCTTGGCGACAGCCTTGGACTTGTGCGCGTTTTCCAGCAGATCTAAGAGGACGTCAGGCTTCGAGTGGATGTCTGTAAATGGAGACGAAGGCTCGCTGTCGAAGACGTCCAAGGAGTGCAGCAGAGCATCAACCTGCAGGATTTCAACCTCCTCAACTACTTCAGCTTTCAAAAGAGAAGAAGGTCCCATGATGTCCTCCATGGGGGGCATTGGGAAAATGGCGGAGGAGATCAGAGGAAGGGTGAGAGCCTGGCAGCCACCGATAGTCGGGAGTGAGATGGCATTTTTAAGTACGGGAGAGGGCGTCTCAGCAAAGGAAGCGTCACCTGTGCTGTTTGCTCGCAGAATCTCCGATTGGACGCCAAACTGTGGGTTGGCATTTCCCTTTCCTGGTAGAAGCTCGTACTTCCCCTGAAGGAAGGACATGTCTCCAAAGGCATCTCTCTCTCCGCCTCTGCCGATGTGGATGGTGTGGCGAAAGTCTCCCAGCGGCGGGCTGATCATGTCAGGGGACAGAATGTCTCTCAGCCGACACTTTTTCCCCTTTTTACTGTTGGTGGGTTTCAGGTAAATGGGTGCTTTTGCTGGCATGCTGTTCCTGTGCAGGATTCTCAAATGTGCAGGACAGGAAGCTCAGAAATGCTTCTGCAGGGTCTGAATGCTGCGGTTCCCCAAGGGAGGAGATGGAGTTACATTCTCAGAACCAGGATGCTTATACAGGACTCTGAAAATAATCCCTGCATCAGTCCAGAGATGGAGATGTTCAGCAAAGGGGCTCTTTTCTGAAATCAGAGACAAAACGGTAAAATATCAACATTTTTAAGAAAAATGTCCAATTTTATAGAGAACAGATTTAAAACACCTGTTTTGTCTTCTTTAAACAAAACCCACTGAATCCCTCAAGGAATAAAAACCATTTTCACGCTCACATTCGCACACCAGAGACTTTCTTGGCCTCCTCACATCTCTGGAAGTGCTAATGTGGAACAGCTGGACGGCAGATTGGAGGAGAAGGGGACTTTGGACGGATCAGAGGAGGGCAGCCTGTCTTTAGAGCGAGCTACTGCTCAGGCATGCCCAGACAGAAGGAGCTACACCGGGGAGGGGGTTACAGAGGTTCAGAGAGAGATAAAGTCAGGAATTATAGTGTGAGTGGATCTTAGGAGAGAAGGTGGTGCAGACGGAGCTTTGAAGAACCGAGGCCCGACGACAAGCCAAGAGCGTCGCCTTAAAAACTCAGGTCGACTGTTGAAGAATAAGAGAAAACGCTCTGGGTGAGGTGGTGGTGGTTTAGTGTGTGTGTGTGTGTGTGTGGGGGGGGGGGGGCACCAGCAGGAGGGGAGCCTGTCCTTTTATAGACATATTTATTTCTGCGAGGACTGACAACATTAACCCTCTGATAGAGTGCCTCAGTGTCTGCACCCTACACCCCCAGCCTCCTCCTCCTCCTCCTCCCTGCCCAAATAAGAAAACCTCCAAAACATCCACATTCCTGCTGCACCCGACCGATACCAAGCCTCTGAATCAGCCTCATCACAGTCCCTTTAAGGAGGCAGCTTATTCTGCGTGGAGCCAGACGGGGGTTAGGGTCTTGCATCTGCACCGAAAATAAGCTGCAACCTTACAAACGTGCACGAAATCCTGTCCAAGATCAGATAAAAGTACATCACAGAGAGAGCTCTGGTGCTGTAGGAGAAGTGTGTTGAACTGAATTTGAGTGTTTATGCGAGGTTCTGGAGATAGACAATGTGTGAGGGTGAGAGAAAGTGTTAACTAAAGGTGAGAAATAGACAGAGGTGTGTGTGTGTGTGTGTGTGTGTGTGTGGGGGTGCTGCTGCTGCAGTGTTTAACTGAAGGAAAGGAAAATGATTTCATCTCATCTCTGTAGCATCTCTCCGGATTTTTAGCTCTTTAGTGACCTGCTGGAGTCAGAAACTAAAACAGACCTATGAGGCGGCTTCCTGCAGCACCACCGTACTGCACCATCCTCCATCTGTCGCCCTCAGGAAGCAGAATATCAGCCGATAAGTGCTGCTGGTCCTAATAATCAACAGTCTGCATTACAGTCACATTAAATCAAAAATTCTAAGCAGGAACTTTCAAATCAACACCTTATTCTCTCCCAAACGGCATCTGAATCCATTTTTGTTTCGATCTATTAGTCACCAAAGAACACACAGACAGAGCTGCTATTAAAGCAGAGAAGAGTTGCTATGGGAGCCTGGAGGGCCAAATGGAGTTGGTGTCATTCAGAAGCCTCCAGGATGCTGTGCAGAAGAGCGTTTGCCTCCTCCTCTGACTCCAGCGCTGCCACACGACACTTGGTTTCAGCCTTCAGAACGGCAGGAAGTGTGAATTATTTTTGGCGCCATTTCCACAGCCTAAATCTGAGTTTCCATACAAACTCAACCTGGTTTCAGTTTCGTTCCTGTGAGTCAGAAAGTGGAAGAAATTGAGAAATCTTCGACTAGTAAAGCGAGACACTTTGTGACTCGCTTGTCACAAAACATTTTACGGGACGTTTGCAGTTTCTTTGCCCCATGTGACATGATCAATGATTGATCCCTGTAACTGAAGATTTGCTCATTTTCTGACCATTGTGTGTCTTCGGTTAGTCGGCAGCAGTTGCAGTCAGACTCCGGCCTGGAATCCATGACCTTCAGGCTTCCTGCTGATGGGTCACTTTGACTTAAATAGCAAACATGAGTGGAAATCCAAGAGCTACGAGGAACAGGATCCGCCTTTGATCCCTCAGTTCTCTTCCTCTGAACCATTGCAGCCACACATCAATTAGAAATCACCGATTTACACAAACCTCCGGAGACCCAACAAAGCTTGCTAAGCCTTTGTTGGTTCCACAGCTGAAGGACTCCGGACGTCCCTCAGCGCACCCCCGCTGCTGACCAGCCTGCAGGCTGTTAATAGCTGAACAGGTGTATTCTAGCACACTTCAAAGCTAGCGCTTGACTTGCACCATCCTTTTGGAGCTACTCCAATAACAAGACTACATGGCACGTGCGGGGGTGGTGCAATCCTGGCGGCGCCGCCACCACCGACTGCTGCTCTGGGTTTCAATTGCACATCTTGGGAAATGGGAGATCTGATGGCAGATTCCCCCTAAAACTGCTTGCCTCGGCAGCCCTGCTGCCTTAATTGGAGCTGTGGGAGAAAACCACCGTGCCACTGGGTCAACGGCTTTCTGTCTGGGTGTGAGCTGATCTGGAGCCTCTCCAGCATCCTTAAAATTGAAGCTGTCTCAACGTTTGGTTGTTTGAAGGCTGGAAATGAGCAGTGGGGCAGCAGGAGGTGATGAAACCTAGAGTGTGGAGGCAGATAAATATAGAGCTGGCATCTAGTCGCTTAATGAACGGCTCGTGATTTGTCTGGGTATTTCTGGACACCTAGAGGTCTGTGTGACATCATTGGTTCAGTTTATTCTGAGAGGTAACCTGCTGCTGTTCCAGCTGCTGCCGGGTCAGAGGAGCAGCTGGCCTGGTCATGACTGAAACCACGCATCCCTTAAAACATCCATGACTGGATGAGCTTCAGGACTTCTTGTTGCAGTTACGGATAGCGTTTCACAATTCCTCCCACAATCTCCGAAAAGCAGCTCGAAGGGAGTTTCTGAGTGCTTGTTTGACATCTAAGCGTGGCCTCGGCCCGGGTCACGCCTTTGCCCAGAGAGACCCTCTCTTTGAGGCTGCTTTAAAAAGGCACATACCACAGAGGGTAATGGCAGCCTTACAAAACAGACAGAGCTGCTTGAAATAAACCTCAATTACAGGCAAAGGTCTGACTTTTGAGGAACCTGGTGCTGTGAGTGGATAGTAGGGTGGAGTATTGGTTCTGTGCTCCGTCTCACTGACCTGGTGCCACCCGCGAGCACTGCCAGAGTTATCCTTGGCAGATGTGAGCAGGACTCAGAATGAAACATGACGAGAATGTCAACACGATAGCAGAAAATAAGACGTTTTCTGAGTGTAGCCTCCTCAAACCCACTCCTCTTGAGAAATAACACTCTGCAGTTGAGAAAAGCATGCTCCCGCCAGCAGCTGGACTGAAAATGTCTTTCTTGGAAAAGCCGGAGAAGATCATGTTGCCAAATTCCTGTCATAGATGTAGACAGACCAGCGTTTCCATACATGTCCACTGTTCTGGCGCACATTAGATCCCGCTGCACATTCTGTACTGATGCAAGATGGCACGAAACCTGAGATAAAACATGCTGCCACTCACCTGGGATGCTCTGATGAGGGAGGGGGTGTCGTTGTGTTTTGGTGAAGGCTGCAGCTCCTGAATGAAGTGCTCCTGAGGTTTGCTGACACTGTCATAGGGCTGCACGTCTGGCGACTGGGACGCCTGCCGGACAGCTGTGTCAGAATTGCTCTCCGGCTTCTTTTCCCCTCTCCAGCCAGTCGAGTCTCCTCCTACGCCTCATCTCACTCCCCCCACTGGCTTTCTCCTCCTCTCGTTTGCTTTACTCGCCTGTTTCTCTACTTGTTTCTTCTCACATGCCTTTTTCCAGCAGCACCTGTGCACGTCTGTCCTCTCCCTCGCAGAGCTTGTGTTGGTTTGGTCAGTTTGCGGGTGATCTTCGTTCCCCCAAAATAATCACAGATGGACGTCTGCCTGCCTGTTTCTTTCTCTAAAATGCTCCTTCTTGGTGTGTAAAGTGCATCTTGTTTCGGTTAGAACCTGATCTGGAGATGCAGTTGGGACTCATCCTGTCATATCTCTTTATTAATGGCATCTCTATTATTTCCCTAAACTGCGTTTTGTGTCAAATCATGATGTGCTGGCCCTTTTCAGAGAGCTGCAGCAGGCTGAGGCGTGACCAGATGAGCAGACGGATCACTGCAGAGTGCTGCAGCACTGCAGCACACGTGGGGGGCATTTGCAGGCAGCGCATGGCTGCAGCAGACCATATAAATTAGGGTTTAAACATCTAATATCTAATATAGCTACATAATAAATTATAAAATATCCCGTCACCTTGGTAACCATTGCAGCTCAGAGGTGATGTCACAGAAATTTCCACCGAGAAGAGTAAAGTGTGTGTTTTAGCTTTTGCAACAGCTAGGTGGAAGAGACGTTACAGCTTGGGGGAGGGGACCTGCGGTCGATGCTCGCAAGTTGCATGTTTAGAAGGTAGAATTGAATTCCTGTCCTCACTAGCTGCAGCAGAAATTCAATCAAATCCATGATCTGCCAGCAGGGGTGCTTCTAAGATGTGACGTTTAGGGGGCTCAGTCCCCAGAGCACTCCTGTCCGCGACTGTTGGTCAGAAGACTGCGGTTGCCATGTTGGGTCTAGTTTTACACTCTTAGAACAAACTAACATCCAAAAAACTCCAACCCATGTTAACTGTTGACCACATTTGTATTAGCCAGACTCTCATGTGCAGAAGTCCGGGTAAAGAGGAGTTACAATGTCCTGCTCCGAATGCAGGTAAGGAGCACTGCTGCCAGGGGACTGGGCTACCTGTGAGTGCTTTGGGACTGGAAGAGGCCCGTTTCAGTCTCCAGTTTCACAAGAGAAGGTTGTTGGATCAGTTGCAAAAGACTCATACGAGAAGTCAGGAAATGTGTGAATGACAAAAAGGACCCGTGATTATCTATGATTTTCCTTCACCTGCACTAACATCCAGCCACCCCAGCTCCATCCCATAGTTCAAACCAAAAATAATTTAACAAAAATTGGATTGAATTCAGAAACGCACCAGAAAACTTCAAGAGATGCAGGTGAAACTGGAAAAAAGAAATCTGGTGCAAAATTTCATTTGTGTCAGTAAATCAACTTAAAGATGAAACTATATGAGGTCTGGGGGTGCTGAACAGGTTTCCATCTGACTTGGTTCAAGATAAAAGGCAGACATGGATGGATGTGTACTGAGACATGAAACTTTTAAAGCAAGCATAAAAACTGAGCATTCACTAAATGGTGCAAATATTTCAAAGTAAAAGCGTGTAGTGGATTTAATGATTCATTGGGCGACGGTGGAACAGAAATTAAGTGCTCGCCCCGTAATCGGAAGGTTGCAGGTACGAGACCCGCTCAGGCTGTCGCTGTCGTTGTGTCCTTGGGCAAGATACTTAACCCCCTTTGCCTGCTGGTGGTGGTCGGAGGGACCGGTTGCGCCAGTGCTCGGCAGCCTCGCCTCTGTCAGTGCACCTCAGGGCAGCTGTGGCTACATCGTAGCTCATCACCACCAGTGTGTGTGTGTGTGTGTGTGTGTGTGTGTGTGTGTGTGTGTGTGTGTGTGTGTGTGTGTGTGTGTGTGTGTGTGTGTGTGTGTGTGTGTGTGTGTGTGTGTGTGAGAGAACAGCTTACAGGCACAGCAGCATCCCTGTATTTACCTCACACCAGTGTTATTTAGCACCACTTAAACAGCAGTTGTAAACGAGGCGCTTTGGTGTTGTCGGATCGTCCCGGGATGATGTCACTGTGGGATCAGTGTGGCCAGCACATGATCTTTAAGAGGAGCACACAACACCATCCTTTCATTTGCTGCAGGAAGAGTTGTAAACCGTGGAAACTCCGGATAACTGATAAAAGCACCAATGAGAAGCTCCTCCTCAGGGATAAATCACCCAGCTGGGAGTGAAAGATGGGAAATTCGCTTTTTGGTGAGATGACCTCAAGCTAACAGTGCTTCTGTCACAACAGATGAAACGTCATTTGCTTGTGTAAAGACTGCTGTAGCATCTCTAAAAGCCACGACTTCCTGTTTTCAGACCAGGCTGTATGTTTGGAACTAGAGTCTGAGCCTTAGAAACCCTTTCTAAATGAAATAACTTAAAAAAAACAACCTTTTCTGATTTTTACCAATAATTAATTTTTAATATTAGTGTTTCGCAGCCTAATCATGATCGGAGCAAACTGCATCAGAGCTCCAGAATGCGGTTGCTCCACCAGACCCTTCTCAAACAACGATGAGGCTGATGAACACACAGTGGAGCTTCTCCTTCCTCCTGCGTTAGTTTCATCACCAGAAGTTACCATCTTAAATGTCACCTTCTCAGACCAAACAGCTGAATATTTACATGATGTATGTATTTACTCACAGCTGTGGGAAAGTATTTGCTCCCTTACAGAAACAGTCTGATTTTGCCTTTTTTTTAATCACTTAAATGCTTCAGATCATCAAACCATCACGGCATCAGACATAAATAATCTGAATGAATATAAAACGTAATTTTCTAAAGATGAGTTGACTTAGACAAACAAAAGAACCCAAACCTTCTGTGTGGAAAAGTAAATGAGTCCCAAACGTGTATCGTGGTTGCATCTCTCTTGGTGTTTGTGAAAACTGAGTCTCTCATGTGGGGCAGTTTTGTCCAACTTGTCTTAACAGAATTTTTAATTGGATGGTTTTCTTGCAGGATCCTGTTTAAGGTCAAAGGTCAAATGTTCTCCTTCGGGATGTTCTGCTAGAGAGCAGAATTCCCGGTTCCATCAGTTACTGCAGGTGGTCCTGGAGCAGCAGAGCAGACCATCACACTACCGCCACCGTGCCTAACTGTTGCTATGGTGATATTTGACTCCAGATTGAACAGGGCACACATCCTCCAGCTTTTGTCTCACCAGAGTATTTACCCAGAAGTCTTAGGGGAGTCTTGGAAGTGACCCTAGCTCACCCCACCACCATCTGAACTTATCCAAGTGAGACCTGCAGAGCGTTAGATGTTCTGGGTTTTTGGTCTTGAAGACCTTTGTAACAGAGCTCGATGTGCTGCTTTTTGTGAGATGGCTTAGCCTACTTCATGGTGTCAGACTTGTTGACATCGTTTCTTAACCCCACAGATCTGTGATCAAGTCTGGCTGGTGGATCTGAAAACCTGCTTTAAAAATAAAGATCACTGTTAATTCATGATTTAACAACTGGGCATTTATGTTTCCCACGCAGGACCAGAACATTCTGGATAACTTGTTTCTGACTGAAAATGTTTAAAATGAACCTTTTGTGTTTAATCAGGATATCTCAGGCGTTAAATGCGTCTGTTGATCTGAGCTGTATCTAAACTGGGTTTATGAGAACTCATGGTGTTGCTAAAACTTCACATTTATGAAATCTCTAAAAATTAATTCCTTTTCTCATTTTTGATCATGTTTTCCATTTTTTATTGCTTTTTCCCACCAAATACAAAGAAGCAGTATTATAAGGTGTGTCATGTCATGTCTTCTGCTGAATGGGCACTGTTCACCAAGAACATGCTTTTAGTTTTTATAATGAGTTTTATTTTGGTTTGGTTTTGGAAGAAGTTTGTCATTTTTAACAAGTTCCAGTTTCGGACCAATTTGCTTTGGTCTGCTTTGGCCCTTGTCCCCTCAACGAAAGGAGTCTCTGTAAGGGTTTCCTTCGTCTTGTCAAAAGCGTTCCACTGATGTCATTCCTTCCTGGTTTGACCTGCCATGTTTTAATTGTAGATCAGGTAAACAAGTCTGCAGATTCAGAAAAGTCTAGGTCTGCTTGAATCCACAGTTCAACTCACGAGGCAGTGGATGCTCCTGCATGAAGTGAGTTTGTCACAGATCTAGAGACCTCACTCAGAAGGCCAGCTGCTGCTCCGCCAGCTGTGAAGTGTTTGTTTGCAGTCATTAAAGCAAGATGTGTCGATATCACTTCATAAAAACAAAGCTAGAGTTCTGAAAAAACAGCTTCTTCATCTCGGGGGGGATCTTTGGTCACTCGGAATTAGAGAAATCCAGTGAACATTTAGTTGTGTTGAACTACGTTTCCCCTGTATTTGTGTATAAGGAGCAAGTACGGCAAGACGTTTGAACCTTTAATCAACAACACCTCTTTGTAATTCCACTAGGCCACTGAGAAGGTAAAAATTGTGATTAAAAAATGTGAGGAAAGGGAAAAAGAAATGAGTAAGAAAGAGATGATCAGTGGATCCCAGGAAAGGCAGAACTGGTAAAGAGTTGTGTTTATAAAATTATGACCAATAAGATGTGATGATTCTATATAAATAAAGAATATCAACCTGATTGATCTTTGATTGTTTAACCAGAAGAATTTAGGATTCTTTGCTTATTCAGGGACCATAAACACACTTCGTATTAATTCAGACTGAGTCAAGTATATAATTAAATTTTAAGATAAGAGATAAGATAAGATAGAACTTTATTAATCCCTCGGGTGAGTTCCTTTGGGAAATTCGGTTTCCAAAAAAAGCAGCACAACACTGACAGAAGTTACAGAGCGTCAGAAAATGTTATATAATAATTGTTCTGTCGCGGTACTTTTTGTCTAAAAAAACGTCCTTATGTCCATCTTTACATTTGCGTTTCAGGCAGAGACCGCAGAAGAAGCTGGCTGCTGAAGGGCTTCTTCAGTGGTGGAGGCTCAGGCAGGCTGTATACAAACTGCTGCCAGCTGCTCCCTCTCTGTTGGACTTTGGTACTGCATGTTACTTCCACGATTTAGATCCGGGGCTTTTCATTAAACATTCGGGGCTTGAGCCCAAGTAGCCGGGCCTAACGCCGCCCCTGGTTCATACAGTCATTTAAAAGAATATGTCCCCTTTTAAAAGCAAATCATTGCCTTTTTCTCAAATGTTAGAATTTTTGTTTTTTACGTTTTGACTTTAGTTTCCATTCTATTTTTTCTGTCTGTCTCTAATGCTCCATCATACTGAAGCAGAAACAATAGTAGCACTCACTGGCTGTTCAAAGAGCTTTTCATAGAAATGTTTAGACATCAATAACCGTAGAAACTCATTACACGCCGCATACTTTTCAGCCTAAAGACATGCCCGCTGCTTTTTCTGACTAGC